CGGGTCGGCCATGTTGGCCGCTTGTAAGGCGAACGCCCTACCCGCTGTGCTAGAATTCTGAATTTTTTAAAAATATTTCTTTAATTGCTCAATCCCCTAGCACCGTTTCCAAACATTTTAGATTGTTAATCTTTTGTAATATTTACCAAATCCACTGGCAAGAAGAAGATCTGTGAAATTCAGCCTGTCATTTTATTTATCTATTAATTTTTGTTTCTACTGGGTATAGTTTCTGTATTCAGAAACTGACTTTTTTTGTGTGGAGGTCATGGCTAGGTGACTCTCAGGTGGTGCTCAGGAGGCCCTAGAGGACCTCCTGGCAATTATCAACCTGGCTGACAGTTATTTTGAAATGCTGGGGATTAAGCCCAGAGCCTCACATATTCAAGGCAAGTACAGTACTATTTAACTATACCCTGGCCCTTGATGGGCTGACTTTTTTTTTCTTTTTTTCAATTAATTTTTGTTGGAAACTGATTTACAAAGTTATTCATTATACTATTGTTTCGAGCATTGACTGTTCCAACAGCACCAGTGTGACCTTCTCTTCACCAATATCCCCAGTTTCCCTCCCAATCCCAACCTGCCCCCTTAGGCATGTAACAAATTTATTCTGTAATGCTTATCCCAACAAACCTTTTAAAAAATGGTAAATAGAATGATCAGAAAATAAATCAGTAAGAGCCAATTTGTAATTGCAATATGATTTTGACCTATGTAAATAAGAAAATTATAGCCTTTTAATACAATATGCCTATTCTCATTTGCATGTATAAGTTTTCAACTGTGGAATCTAAAAGTATGTATATTAAATTTCATTTTATACTTGTATCAATATGGTATAATCATGTCTCATTTGTCATTAATACACTTACAAAGCAATTCTGTATTAATATATTTTGGAATTTACGTGGAATAGGTAAAGCCTACATGTGCAAATTTTCCCCCTACACTTTATATAAATACTATGGTTTACAGAGTTGTTCATGACCACTTGTTACAGGCATTCAATATTCTAACACCTTGACTTCATCAGTTCAGAGTATCAGATTTCATTGTGAAGAACAAAACGATAACCAGCAGTTTGCTTCTGTGCAAAAACAAATAAATAAATAAATGCAATAAATGAAAAATAACACCAGACTCTGTTGACCACACTATAGGCATAGGCAGATACTACAGTTTAGGGCAAGCAAGTTACTAAATATAAAACAACATAAAGAAAAACAAATGAAAATTCAGAATTGCAGAATTCTAAATTAGCTGAAATGTCCTTCCTTTAGCCTAAAATTGTGAGATGCATGAAGAAAGGGGAAACTGAATTCAGAAACAAGCACAAATATAGAATTACTTTGTTCAGTTTTGTGAATGTGAAATTTCTAGATTAGGAACCAGTGTTTGCCTACATTGGGAGTAGGAAGGACCTTTTGGCATGATGGAACTGTACCAAAGTAATGTTTGATTGATGAGACCACAATATGTTTAAAACTAATGATTTTATGATCAGTGAATTACACCTGGAAATAGCTACTAAATAGGCCTACGAGATCAATATTTTTTAAATGGCAGTGCTCTTGATGACCTGAATTTGCTGTTATAAGTAGTTCTTTGCTATTCTTTCTTCAAATTATAGTTAAAACATAACTACAGTTTATAAAAACAAAGATAATAGTATTTAAATTTTATGTGGAAGTGAATAATTCTTGTCAAAATGGCAATCTTCAGTGCTCAAAATTAATCGTAAAACTTTTTTTCTAAAGTACTCTCCCGTTCTCCCACTGTTCATCGCCATTCCTTTTTCCTTTTCTTATTTTTGTTTTGTTTTTGAGGCCACACCCCACAAAGGTCAGAGGACTTTTTCCTGGCTGATGACCTAGCCGTACTGAGGATCAAACCCAGGTTGGTCGTGTTCGAGGCGACCTGCTGTTCTAGATCTATCTTTTCTTACTTATTTTAAGGAATAGCTACTTTTCTTCACCTTTCCTCTAATCTTGATTGTGTCTTTTAAGTACTTATGATAGATTATTTCCAATGTTATTTGAAATTTCTTGTTGATTTCACAGCTCATTGTGTTGTACTACAAATATATCCCATAATAGGAACTCTTGTGTTTGGAGATTAAAGAAATGTGCCATTATTAAAAGAAGATTATTCAGGTTAACATGAATAAAGGCTGAATTTAAAAATAGTTCCTTGTGAATATTTTTTTGATGTTGCCTATTGAGATGTTGTTTATTGAGATGGAATATTTTCTAACTTATTCTTTTGTCCCAGGTTTCCCTGTTTGATTATGACATTGCTATCTTTCCAGTCTCAAACTACAAACTACTCTCGGTTTGTCTGTGCTCAGAGGATCATTCCCAGGAGCATTTGTAGGACTCTGTCATGCTGGGGATCGAACCAGTACTTCTTGCACGCAAAACATGACCCGGCTCGTTGAGCTCTTTAGTGCCAGTTCTTCCTGTCTTATCTAATATTTGTGTTGGTGTGGGGTCTTGTAGTTTTCTTCCAGTTATCATTGTGATTAAACGGAAAGAGCATTTTCTAGACTTTTGGTTCTCTATTTTATAATGTAATCTTGAAACACTGCTCCATTTAAATTTTGTAAAATGTTTTTGTGTATTTAGCTCTTTTTGGATCTTGCCTCTTTAGTCTAAATGTTCAGATTGCAAAAGTGCCACCTGATCCCTGATAACCTTACCGTTTTGATGAATTAATTACCCATCTAAATTGTTGAAGTAGAACAACTAAGTGGGAGGAAATTTGATGATATATATGGTAAATGTTATCTAGTAAGCTTTCTGATAGGGAATGAAATCTTTTTGAATGGCTTATTTGCCTGAGATACATGTAATCTTCCTGAAAGCCTAATTCAGTCTTATAAAACATTCATTGCTTATTAAACCATTCTGTGATTGAGTGAGTCAACACTTTGGAATGTGACAAATGAGAACTAATATAATGCTTCCTCTCTTGAGATTCAGTTAAATCTTGTAACTCACTTTTAGTGAAGAGATGAATCAGATCTTGTCAGTAAGTTTTCATGTTGTTTTGTATATGATTTTATATTAAATATTATTTAGAAGGGCTGGAGCAATAGCACAGCAGTAGGGCGTTTGCCTTGCACGCAGCCAACATGGCCGACCCGAGTTCGATTCCTCCGCCCTTCTCGGAGAGCCTGGCAAGCTACCGAGAGTATCTCGTCCACATGGCAGAGCCTGACAAACTACCCGTGATGTATTCGATATGCCAAACACAGTAACAACAAAGTCTCCAATGGAGACGGTACTGGGCCCGCTCGAGCAAATCGATGAACAACTGGAGGACAGTGACAGTGACATTAGCTTTTTTGTGTGTGCGTGTGTGTGTAGGAGTACTGCTATTTATTCAGCCACTGATTAGCTGATTGAATTGGGCATGAACTCCACCTAAATTTTTTTTTTTTTTTTTTTTTTTTTTTTTTTTTTGCTTTTTGGATCACACATGGCGATGCACAGGGGTTATTCCTGGCTCTGCACTCAGGAGTTACTCCTTGCGGTGCTCAGGGGACCATATGGGATGCTGGGAATCGAACCTGGATCGGCCGCGTGCAAGGCAAACGCCTTACCCGCTGTGCTATCTCTCCAGCCCCTCCACCTTAATTTAATTTATTTCTTTTTATATTTATTGAATCACTGTGGAAAAAGTTACTAAGCTTTCAGGTTTAAGTCTCGGTCATACAATGATCAGACACCTTTCCCTTCACCAATACTCATTTTTCACCACCAAGAACCCCAGTATACCTCCCCTCTCCCATCCCTCCCAATGCCTGTGAGGCAGATGATTTCTACTTAACCCTTCTCTGCATTGATTACATTCATCATTTCGACAAAATATGCACCGTTATTGTTTTAGAATTTCCCCCTAAACAATCAGAATTGCTGAAAAGGCATCATGAAATATTTTGTTTTCTGTGAGAAACATATAATGTCATGCAGCCACGATTTTGGATTTCTGCAAGAGCCAGATAATTACGAGATTGGTTTCTGTGTGTCTGTTGTTATGGCTGTATCAGAGAGCCGCTCATTGGGGGTAACTTGTGACCTTGGTAGGGCGTGAAGGATGTGCTGGTACCGCCCCACTTGCCATGAGACAGCAGTTGCCCCATCACCACATGCTCGTACCTGGCTTTACTATAAGCTCTTAGCTGGCGGCCACCTTGTCTGCAGTCCAGATGCATTTCTGTCAAAAGCTGCTGGGTTTCAAGATTTGTTTCTGAGTCTCTGGTATCATGGCTGTTAATCAGCTTGATCAGGAGCCAGAGAGGCCATTTATAGGCAGCGACTCTAGGTTTCGTTGGGATGGGGAGAAAGAGTTGGCTCCACCCCCATGTGGTGAGGTCCCATGTGTCTCGTCACTGCAGGCCCAAACCTGACTGTCCAGTGGCCTCTGGAGGATGGTGGTCACCAGGCCGCCAGGGGGAACAGGCCAAGGCACGAAACCTATTCCCACCTGGAGTGGCCCAGCGCCAGTAACCTACTGCAGAAACAGGACGCATTTCTGCCAAAAGCCTTTGGGTTCCGAGATTCATTTCTGAGTCTCTGGGATTGTGTCCATTAAGCAGTTCAATCAGCAGCCAGAGAGGCCATGCCTCCAATTATATAGCTGAGCTGGAGGTGGTTTGTGGGTTTGTCTCCCACATACCTAACTTTTGGCCGTTTACTTTCTTGGTAAACTTTGCCCCAAGTTTTTGGGGTCTGGTTAAAGGCACAGCAGCAATTTTGGGGTATCTGAAAGTCTGACGTTGCCATCGGGCTGCTGATGCACTCACCTCACAGGTACAGATTGACCTGGTGGCACCGTACCCCCAGTTTCTTTAGCTTTTGAAGAATTATTTGTCATAAAGGTTTATGATTTCTCTTCATTATCCAATTTGGCAAATGTTTCATGAGTATTTAAATGCTTCCTCCCTTGAGAGTCAGTTAAATATTTTGATCAGTAAATAATACTTTTCTTAACAGTGAATTGCTCAAGTGTGTGGGATATCGTGTTAATCTTAGAAGACTACAGTGAAGCGGCAATGTCTCGGGAATCTACCCCACCTCTCCCTGGAGATATGTCTACTGGTCCTGTAGCAGAAAGCTGGTGTTATACACAGGTATATGTCATTAAAAGCCTTACTAGGTATCTAAATTATGTCAAGCCTTACTAGGAATCTAGTTTTGTCACTTAGATATTGTATAGTTTATTCTATTTTGAAGCACTTTGGAATAGTTATTAGAAATGTTAAGAGTGAATTATAGGACATTTAATATATGGCAAGTGAAAATCATAAATTTCATCACTGTAAAAATGTTTTTCTGGATCTCCTAGGTTAAAGTAGTAAAATTTTCTTACATGTGGACCATTAATAACTTCAGCTTTTGTCGAGAGGAAATGGGTGAAGTGTTAAAAAGTTCAACATTCTCATCTAGCCCCAGTGACAAAATGAAATGGTAAGATTTTTGTTTGGCTTTTCTTTTTTTTTAATTTTATCATTAGTACTTTATGTTTCTGTGTTTGCGCCTAGTGTAATTAGTCTAATTTTATATTAAATTTGCAAGATGTTTCTAACTACATAGAAAATGGAATAGCCATGTTTGAGAATGATTATCAGATAGTTTTGGTGTTGATTTTTTTTTATGTTGAAAGTAATATGTCCTCCATATGAGTCTATTGTTTTATTTTAGGTGCCTGAGGGTAAATCCAAAGGGATTAGATGATGAAAGTAAAGACTACTTGTCCTTATATTTGCTTTTAGTCAGCTGTCCAAAAAGTGAAGTTCGAGCAAAATTCAAATTTTCTCTTCTGAATGCTAAAAGGGAAGAAACGAAAGCAATGGGTAAGTGATTTACAAACTAAGCTGTTTAATACCATACTTGGGGGGGTTGGCCAGAGTGATAGTATAGCAATTAGGTCAGGCATTTGCTTTCCATGAGGCTGACCTGAGTTCCATTCCCAGCACTGCCAGGAATGACCCCTGAATTCATAGACAGGTGTAAGACGTGAGCATTGCTGATACGGCCCCCAGCAAGGAAAACAGGAAGAAAAAATTTCAGATACTTTGACATTCTATACTTCTATCTAGAAAAAACAAAATTCTCTACACCTTATACCTGCTTGATCTAAAACATTGTGTTAGGATGTCATTTAACTTTAAATACCATTATAAAGCTAGTTATTTTGCAATCTTTGACTTGGTATAATACATGCAAAATAGATTTAAAGTAATGCAAAATTAAACCTGTCCTGTCTTAAAATACTTGCTTACCATTTGCGAAGAATGTTGGTACTAGTAGAACAAGATCCCTGGTTCAATACCTTCATATATAATAGATCTTCAAGAAATACTTTGGTTTTGTTTTTGTTTTGGGGCCTCTGCTGGTGATGTTCAGTGGTTATTCCTGGCTCTGCACTGAGGATTTACTCCTGGCCGTCTCTGGGGACCATGCCAGAGATCAAGCCCAGGTCGGCCATGTGCTAGACAAGTGTTCTAGTCTCTGTATTCTTACTCCAGCTTCAAAGGAATATTTCTTTTCTACCTTATTTATCTCAAGTTAAAGCTGTAGAACACTGTGAGAGGATATTGAATGGCCTGATATTATAGTTTTTTGGGCAATGAACTGAAAACTGACTGAAAGAAAATGCACTTGTATTTGTTACTTTTCTTTTCTATGAAATGCAGTCTAAACTTCATAAATATAACAAGCTGAAACCATGTAACCTGGAGCCTCATAATAAAACAACATTGTAGTAAATATACAGTTTGATAGCGGGAAAATTTAGTGTGGACTGACTACAATATTAAATTTTAAGTGTTTTCTAGAAGCAGATCACAGAATCAGGTAATGTTGTTTAAAAAGTAAACAAAAATTGCCACGTCCAAAAACATTTATTTAGAAGAATAAATTTATTTACTATTGCTGAAGTAAATATAATTTCACAAGTATTTTCTTATTATCTGATGTTTAAGATAGTGCGCTGCTTTATTTCAGACTGCTACAATAAAGTGTCACAAAGTAGGTGACTTAAAAACAGAAATTTATTTCTTACTAATATGGAGGCTGGGATTTCAAAGTTTAGGGTGCCAGTGCGGTCAGATTAGTACAAGCTATTTTCAGGAGTTGTAGACTCCTACTATGTCTTCACATGCTGGAAGGGATTAGGGAGTTTTGCAGGCTCCATTTACAAGAGTAGAAATCCATATATGAGGACCCTCTGACCTCATATAATTCTCAAACTACCCCTTAACACCATCGCCTGGTGGGGCAGGGAGGGTTTCAATATATGAATTATGGGGGAATATAAACAACCTATAAATTAAACATTTAACTTAGATTTTCTAAATATTAAAATTTGATTTTCATTTTACAATATGTTGTTTAACAGTATTGTCAATAGTAGGGTTTCATGAATGACCGTTCTCCCAGAGTGTCCATTTTCTTCATCCTTGTCCCAGTGTTTTCCATAATGCAAATCCCATTCATGTAATATAAATCCTCACATGATTTAATATTTATATTAATTTATAGTTTGCCACTTATACTTAAATCTGTGTAACAATGGGTAATATTTTTAGTAGATGATGATTTTTCATGGTATACAGTTGTACAGGACGTGCGGCATTTTCAACAGTTACATATTAAATATTTCATAACTTTAAAATTGATCATTTGACCTTTTATGCAAATTTTTGGTTGTTTTTATTTTTTTGTTTTTGATTTTTTTGGGGATCACACCCAGCGATGAGGAGGAGTTACTCCTAGCGGTACTTGGGGGACCATAAGGCATGCCAGGAATTAAACTTGGGTCGACCAGCATGAAGGCAAATGCCCTACTTGCTGTACTATTGCTCCGGCCCCTTTTATGCAAATTGTTTTAAAAAGTGATTGTCGAGCAATTAGAATGAAGAGACTCTATTTCACTTTTCTTAAGCAGTTAATGGGTTTTTGTCTAGTTCAATAAACTTAACCCAGAATGATTATCAGATATCCTGGAGATATAAAGAACCCACTTTTAAACAGAAGCTGTAAATGAGAATTATATTTCTAATCAGTGTCTGCTATTAGATGATGAATGATATGCTTACAGCAGTGTATTTTGATCCTGTTTTATTATTTTTAGAACTTAAATTGTTATTCTACACCTTTTATCTCCATGAAAATATGGTCTGACTTTTCTTCCACTAGATTTCCAGAAATCTGAAAGTGGACATTGATGGTAGCCAAAATTTTAATAGTGTTGGACTGATTTGTTTCTCTTACATAAAAAAAAAAATTATTCATGAGAACGCATAAATTTACTTTTTCTGCTTGATATGTTGATTATTATTTTTGTGCATTTTAAATAAAATGCATTTTAAATACTAGTTTACCATTATAATACGTGTTTCTTGGATACCTGTCTTATTTATACCTCTGTTTTCTACCAGAAAGCCAAAGAGCATATCGATTTGTGCAAGGGAAGGACTGGGGCTTTAAAAAGTTTATACGAAGGGATTTTTTGCTTGATGAAGCTAATGGTCTTTTACCAGATGACAAGCTTACATTATTTTGTGAGGTGAGTACGTTTCTTTTGCTTTCAAATAACTTCACGGTTATTTTGGTTAAAGAGCAGTAATACATGCAAAATGTTATACTAATAATATTTGGCAGTTTTAAGCAAGTTACTGTTACATAATTGATACCAAATAATTGATTAAGTTTTACTTAGAAAGATTTTACCAAAATAGTAAAATTGTCTTAGTAATCAATAGTATACCCCAGATGGAACAATTTCTGTCATATATTTCTTTATATACTACATGACTATTAAATACTTCCTTTTTGGAAATTTTTGAATGTGCATACTCACAAAGCCTTTAATATAACTTCTTTCTGAATAGTTTGTCAGTACTTTCTGTCATATTTAAGTGTATCATATTAAACAGTACTAATAGTTACTAATTCAGAGCCGTTCTAGAGTAGTAGCAAAAATGCCTGGAAAAGATGTGAAATTCTTTGTTTATTCAGGCACTTGAATTTATTTAATCAAATGGATTCTGACATCTTATCTGTTCATTTTCTATCTCAAAATTCTAAGCTATGTCCATGTCTATTAACAAACTAGAGATACTTGTATGCATGAATGTCATATTTTGAAAGTTCATGTATAACTTCTGGCAATGAGAATGATTTACATGCTTAGTTTTAACTTGAGGTTTGGATTTGCCTCTGTCATTATTACTATAATTTAATTTTATTCATATAATTTATAAGGTTAATCTTTGGAGTGTATTTAAATATTATATTATTAATCCAGCTAATGGAAACTATTCATCAGTAACATAGTTTGAAATATTTAAGGTAGTTGATAATATTTATAAGAAAGATAGTTGAAATGATCTTCAGTGGGTTATTATAGGCAATGAATGTCTTAGAAGCATGCCAATTTCCTAATTATTCAGCTAGCATTAGTTTCTTTCTAGTTTTAGTTACATTATTATAACTAAATAATTAGCTTCTCACCAACAACATAAATTGTCACTGTGCTTTATTAAAAAAGTAATTGAAAAATGGCCATATAGGCTAATGAAAATTGTAAACTTCATCTTACTTTTTCCTAGACAAATTCAGCGATCATGTGATATATTTGTTATGAATCCAGTTATTTGGTTAATAAAATGTACGATACAGTACCTTGAACATAGCTTTCATCATTGCATAATGAAAAAATGCTAAATTTGTTGCTGTCTGTTAATTGAGTAGTTTTCTGAATAAGGGCTATACTATTTAAAAAGTTTTTGCATCCCTAATATATACTTTTATCTATAATTTTAGCAGGTATAACTCAAATTTCAGTACATACATTTTTAAAACTTTTATTATCCTTACAGTTTAAACAACCATAAAGGATATTTTGTCTAGCAATAACAACAAAGCAACTACAGCTCAGGTGTTTCTCTAAATGAACTTTTAAAGAAACTATTTCTTGTTTTAGAATTGAAACTTTTTTAAAGATGTTTTCTTCAGCATATTATATTGGAACCTAGATAGCTAATAAATTCAGAACAAAGGCTGTGAAAATTTAAGATTCATTTAATCTAATTTTTAAAGTATGCTTTTTAATTTATATGTAAGATTAAGCACACATGTGATCTCCTTAAAAAGAAAATGCACCAAGACATATGTTTTCAGGAGGCATTGATACTTACTTTTGGATATTGAAATATGTGCCTTTTTACTGATGTGGAGTTCCTTTTGCCCTGGGCACTATATTTACCAAAGAAGGGCCAAAATCCTTTAACATTCTTCATGCCCTCCGCCATTTCTTCTATCCCGCTCATGGATGCCCTTCCTTCTACAGCATCTCTAGCACTGCTTGCAGAAGAGGAGGAAGCATTGCACTGCCCTTCCTTAAAGAACTGCCTCCTCTCCCTCCCCTGCAAGTTGTGCTGTAGACAGGTAAGACAGTGCTACCCTTTTTTTTTTGTGCAAGAAGTAGCTTAATCTTGCAAATTCCATACTGTGAATCATGTAACCAGAGATAGAAATCTGTAGCAGTTTGGAAGTTCTATCCCTTCATTTCCAAGGTGGTACAGATAACAGGAACCGAGGAATAACTAAAACAGAAAATTGGTTTTGATATATAAATCTATTGAAATACAATGGATTTTGAACAATACCATTTTCTAGATAAATACCATTCCACAAGGTACAAAAAATATATATATGCAGATAAACTAATGTATATAATTTTCATTAGGCTAAATTCATTCATACTTTTGCTGGGGGTGGGTATGGTATTGGGGCCACACCTACGAGTGCTCAGGTCATTCCTGCCTCTGTACTCAGTAGTCATCCCTGAATGTGCTCAGAGCGACCATGTGTGGTGCTAGGATTTGAACCAAGGTCATAGCCACCACACACACATACACACACACACACACACACACACACACAAGAATTTTACCCCCTGTTCCATCTTTCCAGTTCCTTAAAGTTTTTTAATAGATACTCATTTGCTCTGTCCTATTTTTCTGTTGTGGATATAATCCTTTTATCTTTTAAAGTAGCACTGTAGCACTGCCCTCCTATTGTTCATCGATTTGCTTGAGTGGGCACCAGTAACGTCTCACAACAAATTGTGACACTTTTTGTCACTGTTTTTGTTTTATCAAATACATCATGGGTAGCTTGCCAGGCTTTGCGGGTGAGATACTCTTGGTAGCTTGCTGGGCTCTCTGAGAGGGGTGGAGGAATGGAACCCAGTTCAGCTGCATGCAAGGCAAATACCTTACCTGCTGTGTTGTTGCTTCAGCCCATGTTTTAAAGTACTTGTGGTAATTGGGACCTTTAAGATAATGCAGCAGGTAGACAGACTATTTGCGTTACAGGCAGCAGATTCAAGTACCTTGTGTGATTCCTCTAGTACCACCAGGAGTGATCCCTGACTGCTGAACCAGAAGTAAACCCTGACTGAGCACAGCCAGGTGTACTCCTCCACCTCCACCCCGATCCCCCCCAAAATAAAAGAATAATGAATAAAGTAGTTGTGAAAATGACTGGAAGTTGTGTTTTATTTTCACAGTAACCATTTTTGGCAAGATGAAAAGTTGGCAACTTTTTTTTTTTAATGATTTTTGTTTTTGTACTACTAGCAATCAAATCCCAGGTCTCTTGCACTTACTACAAAGTTATATATGGCCAGACAAACTTTCTTTTACCCAAATTTTTATAAAGAGTTTGTGTCTATAAAGTTGAAAAGTCTAAGACCTACTGTTTTTTGTTTGTTTGGTTTGGTTTGGTTTTGGAACCACACTTGATGGTGCACAATGGTTACTTCGGGCTTTGCTCAGTGCTCAGGGATGACTGGTGTTAGTGCTAAGGGAACCATATCCAGTGCCAGGTATCACACCTGAGTTGGCATGCAGTGCAAGTGCCTTAATCACTGTGCTATCTCTCTGGCTCCAGGCATCTTTTTGAAAAGATGATGTAAAAATGTACCATTGAAAGTTTCTCACTTTGGAGCCAATATTGGGAGATGCTTAAGTAGTGATTTTAGTGTCAGAATTGTTTGTATTCTATACCTTTATAAATTTATAACTTTCAGAATTCATTTTGAGAATTGGTCTATTTTTAAAAATTGGAAATAGCTGTTACCCTAATTCTTTCACATTGGAGGAGACTGAGATTTCCAGGGTAGTCATAGTTGATTAGAGCCTGCACATGTCCATCTTTAGGAGAAACTGAGCAAAAAACAAATTTGGAAAAGAGCTGTCAAATGAGTTTGATAGAATTTACTTTGCATCTGTCAATTTTGAGTATTACATACTTTTTAAAATTTGAATAATCTAACCTTAGGGAAAAAAAATCAGCCTTTTTTCTGATGTTTCACTCTAGGTTCCATTTTGTTAAAATTACCTGTACTTGAGTATACACTAGAGAAAAACCTAAAATTTTACCAATTACTTAATTACAGGAATCAAGAAAATAGCCATTAGAATTTATTGCCTTTTATTTTTAAATTGTACTCTTAATTTATGCTTTATGAATAGTCCCCAGAATGCTGTTTGGAGTATTGAATGTTAATAAAGACTTAATTAAAACTTCTGCTTTCTGTGATAGTACTCTGTAGATGTGCATATCAGTTATATAAAGTATTCTGATACATGATTACAAATATGAAATGTCAGTATGTATTTCTTATCAGAATGGCCTTTTTAAAATCTTAATTTCTAACATTTTTATTTTCAGTATATTTTTTGGGTTAAGACAATAGTAAATAAAGCTTAAATACTTTTCTAAACTAAATAATGTCATGAATTTTAATAATGTTATTGCATTGGCTTGCTCTTGGGCCCACCTGGCAATGCTAAGGTTCCTCCTGTCTATGTACTCAGTAATCATTCTTGGCACTGCTCAGGGGATGGGATGCCGGGGATCAAACCTGGTCATCGGTGTGCATGGCAGTTACCTAACCCACTATCTTATCTCTCTAGCCCCACTGCATACTTTTTTTTGTGAGTAATTAAGTGTCTGCTGTTTTGCAAAAGTTTTAGAAGCAATGCTTTATATGAAGAAATACTTTATGGTTGGTTAAAAAATTGTATTCCTAACTAAATTGTCTTCCTAATTAAACATCAACTGTTAATATACATAAATTGTGTTTATATATCAGGGCAATACACTAAGATTTGGTGAATTTTTTTGATTTTATAGTTACTAAATGTTTAGAGACAGTTTGAATAAGATCAATACCATGATTGACATTTTCCTTTTTTTGGGGGGGGTGGGGGGTTGTCACATCCGGCAGTGCACAGGTGTTACTCCTGGCTCTGCACTCAGCAGTTACCCCTGCTGGTGCTCAGGGGACCATATGGGATGCTGGGAATCTAACCAGGTTCAGCCGTGTGCAAGGCTAACACCCTACCCACTGTGCTATGCTCCAGCCCCTGATTGGCATTTTCTTTTTTCTTTTTCTATTTAAAATTTATTTTCAGTTGCAACTGGAGAGATAATACATTGGGTCGTTTCCTTGCCTTCCATGTGGCCTGCCTTGGTTCTATCTTCAGCACCACATATGGAATGCCTGCTTTTGTCCGTTGAACCGGGCATGCTTTAGGCTAGAGCCGGGAGCTTCGAATTTGATATGGCTTCTCTGTTTTAATCTGCATGTCCGCGAACTTGGGCTTCTTAGGCGGCATCTCGCAGGCGGATGGGCACTTTCTGAGTTGCCTTGATGGATAACGTCAAGCACTTAATATTGATGTCAGCTCATTGCAAGTGCCTAATACTGATGCTTTCAGAAACACGACAGAGGCCTCAGCGATAGTATAGTGGGTAGGGCATTTGCCTCACACACAGGTGGCCCGAGTTTGGGTTCCCGTCACCCCATCTGGCCCACCACCAGGAGTAACCCCTGAACATCGCTGGGTGTCACCCCAAAACCAGAGAGAGATTGTACAGAAGTTAAGGAGCTTGCCTTGCAGAAGTGCAGAAGGCCCTCGTTGGATACCTGGGATGACTAGATGTGATCCCTGCACAGAGCCTCAGCACTGCTCAAGCCCACCCGTGTCCATTGCCCTTATTCCCTTCACTTCTCTTGCAATAAAATAACAGTAGTAAGAAAGTGTATATAAAAGTAGTGAGCCTGTTTTCCACCCATGTTGACATCCAGCATCCCACAGATCCCCTCAGTATGCAGGGACTGACCCTGAAAGGCCAGAGTTGGCCCCTGTGCATCACCAGGTGTGGCTCTGCAAAAAGGAAGGATGGGGGTACTAAAGGAACTTCCCCAGGATTGTTTCTATGGTTGTCTCTGTTTGTTTTCTTGTCTTTGGCACCGAGGATAGAGCCCAAGGATTCGTGCAAAGATACATTCCTGGCCCATAGGATGTTGAGTTAGGTTTAAATCTTTAGTTAAACTCTTCCAGTGTATTACTGTGTATAGGCTTATATGTAGGTTCTTTCTCAGAAGTGGACTAGTTAGGTATGAGTGATTTTGATAAACATGGCTCAGTTGCTTGTAAGTCCCCATTTCTCCATTTCCCCTACCTGCACACCAACAGTTATAAAACTTAATCTTTCAGTAGTCTGTAATGATAGCACAGCGGGTAGGGTGTTTGCCTTGCACGCGGCCGACCTGGGTTCAATTCCTCCGCCACCTCAGAGAACCTGGCATGCTACCAAGAGTATCTCGCTCACATGGCGTAGCCTGGCAAGCTACCCGTGACGTATTCGATATGCCAAAAAACAGTAACAACAAGTCTCACAATGGAGATATTACTGGTGCCTGCTCGAGCAAATCGATGAACGGGAGGGCAGTGCTACAGTGCTCCCCAAGTGTAACTCCTTTGTGCAGAGCCAGGAGTAAGCTCTGAGCATTGCCAGGTGTGGCCTAAAATATAAAACTTTTTTTTTCTATTTAAATTAACATTACGTGGTTTTGATGTACAAAATTGTGGCAATTCACCACCATCAAAGTGCCTAATACCCTTTACTACTGTCCTTATGAGATGTTTATTATATGCACAATATGTCAACTATATATGAACTATGACTATCACTCTGTTGTTCTTCAGTTCACTCGAGCGGGACCAGTAATGTCTCCATTCGTCCCTGTCACGTGCAAGTGTAGCCTGATGACATATTGGGGGCTCCTTCAGGGTCAGGGGAATGAGGACCATTCATTGTTACTGTTTTTGACATATTGAGTACGCCACGGGTAGCTTGTCAGGCTCTGCTGTGCGGGTGGGATACTCTCGGTAGCTTGCAAGGCTCTCTGAGACGGATGGAGGCTTTAGGGGCAGCCTCTAATCACCTTTACAGGTGTTCCTAGTCAGGCATATAGGCGGGTATGATACTCTCAGTAACCTGCCTGGTTTTCTGAGAGTGAGAACTAGAGAATAAAAGGTCGCATGGCCGCGCTTCCGGGAGCTTGGTTTTATAGTCTCTGGACGGCCGTTGATGGGGTTACACGGCAGTTGGTGGGTATAACTGTCTAGCTACTGGAAGGTGGGGGAGCTGGAGGGAGGAGGCCCAGTACCGAACTGAGCAGGCTTAGAGATCTCAGCCCCGGTCCCGCACACCTGGGTTCCTCTGCCAGTTCCACGTCCAAGCGTGTGGAGAGTGGTCTCAGCATGGCTTTGGCTGGGTCCCGGAGGTCTTCAGCTGTCGGGGCTCTGCTCAGGGTGGAGAGGGAAACTCAACCCGCCCCCCTCCAAGGGGCCCCGGTGAGGACAGCCAGGCGCGGGGGCAGGAGACTCTGCCTTGTTCTCTTCCGGGAGCTTGGTCTTTAAGTCTCTCTCTGGATGGCCATTGATGGGGTTACACGGCAGTTGATGGGTGTAACTGTCTAGCTACTGAAATTATATATGAATTATAATTCCGTTAAATTACTATTATGTTTTAATTTGTTTTTAATCCTGAATACTATGTAGTATAGAGTGCTAAAGTAAACTAGATATGTTTAGTTTCCCTTTCATTTGGTTAGCAGTGTGATTTGATTTGGCGCTTGAGTTTTTTTCTTGTATTGCTTTGAAATTTTTTTATTAAAAAATGTTTTTGAATGAGAATATTTTTTAGGACATGGGATTCTCAAGGTTGATAGTATACATTGGAAAGACCAAAATAAATATACCCTCAGGAAATATTTTTTAAAAAGTACTCACTTATTACAAAGTATGTCTCATATCTGATATATATGAAATCTTATATATCTAATATATAACATACATGTGGGTAAATGAGGACTGATATTTAATATTCTCCTTTTTTATTGACAATAAAATACAGTTTTATTACATTTCTTACATAGTTTGCCATATCTTGACATGGCCTAATTCATTCTCATTTTTTCATAGAAGCCAGTAACTATTGCTGCACAGTAAATTACCCCATAATTTAGCAGCTTAAAAAATAGCTATTGCAGTACTTTGTGAGTGTTTATCCAAATGTTACTCTTTTAAATTGTAGTTTGGGTTAATTTATTATAAAATTAACGTTCATGGCTCGATGTACGGTTATCAGAACACTTGACCACTATAGTATATATTAATACACACCAATGGTCTTAGTTTACTTCTAATCTTCCTGTTCATTACCTCCCATCCCCTCTCTGATTGATAATCTCAGTTTTCTAATCATAAACCAAGAATTTGTCATCATTCAGTACTGTATTTCCTTGTTTTGTTTCTCTGTATACCATTGATGAATGAGATCATCCAGTGTCTGTCCTTTCCCCTTTGCCTTATTTCAGAGACTTGATATTACAGTTCTATCCAAGTTCCAGCAAACTTTAGAATTTCATCTTGCCGCATAGTATTTTTTTTTTAAATATACCTGCCACAGCTGCTTTATCCTTTCCTGTCCTTGGACATTGGGGTTGTTTCCATATGCTAGCAATTGTACTGAGTGTTGCAATGAATATGAGCATGCATATATCTTTCAAGTTAATATTTTTTGTGTTTTGTGGGTAGGTGAAGGAAGTAGAATTGCTGTGTAATATGGAACCTCTGTTTTACCTCTTTCAAGAAATACTCATGCTGTTTTCCTGGAACCTACAAGATTTTTACCAGTAGTCAATGAGGGTTCCTTTTTCACCACATCCCTAACAATATTGGTTGTTTCCAGTTTTTATGATACATGCCATTCTCACTCATTGAGATGATACATCCTTGTCATTTTTATTTGACAATGAACACTGTTTTCATAAGCCTGTTGACCATTAATATGTTTTCTTGGGGGAAGTGTCTAGTCATCTCATTTCCCCCATATTTTGATGGGGTTACTGGTATTTTTGTTGTTGAATTTTATGAGTGCTCTTTTTTTTGTATATGTGTGTATGTGTATGTAAACATATATGTGTGTGTATAATAATAGCCTTTTGTATTTAGTACATATTTAAATAAACTTTACTGCAATTGGAACATGCAGTAAATACTTTGAAAATACTTCCAAATTTCCATATTATAGTCTATAGGTTTGTTACGTTTTTAGTGCTGTGAAAAGTAATTTTGAGGTGCCGAAGCATTAGTACAGCAGGTAGGTTGGTTACCTTGCATCAGCTGACCCAAGTTCAATCCCCTGGATCCATTATTGGTCCCCCAGGCGCCAAGAGGAGTAATTTCTAAGTAAGGAGCCAGGAGTAACCCCTGAGCATCTCTGGGTATGACCCCCCCAAAAAAACAAGTCATTATGAGATTGATGATCTGTTAATTGTGTATATACTGAACTTGAAATGTTAAGTCTGAGGTATGAGAAAATAAAAATTAAATAGATTTTAACTTCTAAATTTGTCATCATGTTGTGACTTTTCTGTTGAGAGATATAGTTTTTATAATTACTTTAATAACCAACTGTTCCAACTAATCCTTAAGCCACTTAATTTACATAAACTTTTATTACTTGAAATTTATCTTATTTCTAATTTTTCTATATCCTTTACTTCATATCTTTATAGTCCATTCCTAGGCCTTAGCACTTTGAATCAAGTGTATATTGAATTATAAAAAGGATTAAGTAAAGAATATAAAAATAGACTTAGTAACTATCAATATTAATTTGCAAAAATGTTTTTCTTGGTGTTCCCTGTTTATTAGGTGAGTGTGGTTCAAGATTCAATAAATATATCAGGACATACTAATACAAATACTCTGAAGGTGCCTGATTGTCGACTAGCAGAAGATTTAGGTAATCTCTGGGAAAACACAAGATTTACAGATTGCAGATTTTTTGTGAAAGGACAAGAATTTAAAGCCCATAAATCTGTACTTGCAGGTACTTTCTTCTTTTGGATGATATAATGCAGTCTTTCAAAACTATATATGCTAAATAATGATGGTTAATCTTGTTACAGCTCGATCACCAGTTTTTAATGCAATGTTTGAACATGAGATGGAAGAAAGCAAAAAGGTGAATATAATTTAAAGTCTATTATCTAATTTATACAGGTGTAGAATAGTAGAATGTTTATTTTTAAAATGACATTGTATATTCTTTGTTATGCTATGATTTTAATAATGAATTATATAATAATTATATAATGTAATAATTTTATAATCAAAAACCATGTTTTATGATAGAGAAATAAATGAAATTTGATGTTCGTGAATATTCTAAATATTTTTCTACTTATTTAGTGACTGAAAGGTAGTTGTAATCTAAAAGCGTAGTCATCAGAAACTGGTTGTTTTTGTTTTGGGGGGCCACACCTTTCGGTCCTTGGGGCCACTCCTGGCTCTTAACTCAGGGATTACTCCTGGTGGTACTCGGAGCCATGTGTGGAGCATGGATTGAACCCAGGGTTGCCACATGCAAGGCAAGCACCTTACCTGCTTATCTGTCTAGCCCAGAAGAACTATTTTGTCCCCTAGTTAATTTGGGAAGTGTCTCGTTAAAATGTGTTTATGTTTTTTGTATAAATGTAATAAATGTAAATTATATATAGATAGATTTTTTTTTAACCCCTTCTGCCTGACTGGGCGTTTTAGGGATGAGCTCTGTAGCAATGTTCGGAGAAAAGGCCAGTGGCCATTAGCCACTCAGCAATATTTTGCCACATTGTTTGGGTCTGGTAGGTGATGAGGTGGACCATCAGTGCCACACTGTGATAGCTGGGACAAGTGCTTTGCCAGTGACTGACATGAGGCCCTACAAGTGAAAGGCTTGTACTCCATACTATAGAGCTATATCCCTACCCCTCACTTCTAACAAAAAGGTATTAGATTTTTTTAAGTACATAAATTACATTAATTTTATTATGTGTTAACTACAATCAAGATCCTGCTTATTTGGTTTTTCCATATGTTTTTCTTTTACTGCCATTTTGAAATGTTGTCTGATAAGTATCAAAAGTTGGTTCTCTAAGAGTTGTATTATAAGTGAATCTTACTGCTTCAGTTGGACTACTCCAGAATTTATTTATGTGGTTCAGTTCTATCATTTTGTGAACCTGAGGCTACATTAAAATAACTTTTCCCCCTTTTTGTTGGTTAGTGTAGATATCCAAATGAGTATTCTGATCAATTATAAATAAGACATCAGTGATGCCAAATGCTATTTTACATCAAAGGATATATAAAAGTGCAGTATTGTTTGGTACTAGATGATTAACTTTATTGATCTCAAGAGAGAAACCACAGATAGAGTTAAAAGAGTGACAAATCAAGTATCAATTTCTGGACTTGATTACTTCTCAAGCAAAGAGATGAGATCCCAAAATAATGTATAAATGTACCAGATTTTAAAAAAGAGTTTAAATAGTAGATCTTAGTGTTAATCTTACATGCCCAATCCTGGGCTGGAGCGATAGCACAGTGGTAGGGCATTTGCCTTACGACAGCCAGCTGGCCGAGTCAGGTTCGATTCCTCCACGATTTCTCCTCCCCTCTCGGGAGCCCGGCAAGCTACCAAGAGTATTTCGCCCGCATGGCAAAGTCTGGCAAGCTACCCGTGACGGATTCAATATGCCAAACACAGTAACAATGAGTCTCACAATGGAGACGTTACTGGTACTGGGCCCGCTTGAGCAAATTGATGAACAGCGGGAGGACAGTGCGTGCACAGTTCAGTGCCCAATCGTACTTAAACATGGGACTAGGTTATAGGTCTTAGACATTTAATTAGGTATCGAACTATGACCTAGGAAGTTAAGCAACAAAAAGAAATTAATAGCCATCTGTCACTAAGATCAGTGTCAGAAACTGGATGTTTTCCTCTGGACATAAAGGGCATTTTAGTTTGTTTTTGTTTGACTTCCTTTGAGAAATATGATTTAACAGTTTTAAATGATTAATTTTCTTGACCAGGTACACTTCTTAGACCTACGTGCTTCACTTGCCTTTTTAACAGAGATTTAATTACCTCAGTTTTGAAAAGTTTAATGTATTTGAGAAGTATAATACATGAGATACAATTGCTGCCAAAGTTTATTAGGTTTAATAGTATATGGGTGATTTGTGTGTGTTTTATAACTTTTTGATGTTGTTTTCAATAACAGAATCAAGTGGAAATAAATGACATAGACCCTGAGGTTTTTAAAGAAATGATGAGATTCATTTATACAGGGAAAGCACCAAACCTTGACAAAATGGCTGACAGCTTGTTGGCAGCTGCAGACAAAGTAGGTAACTAGATCTTAAAGAGCTGGAAACGTCTTCAAGGTTGATAACACTTAGAGAGCTGTGTTCAGATGAAGATCCCAAATAACTTGAAATATTGAATTAATACTATTTGTAACTTGCTGTTGAGAAAATGTAGCATATTATAGGATAATACAGAAAAGACATTTTTAATGAATGAGATATAAATGGTTTATTAAGCCAGTGAGAATTTATGGACCTGCATGCATTTCATAGGAACTTAAAATGTAAACTCAGTGCTGAATATATTCTTTTAAAGAACTTACACATGTAATATCTTACAGTTCTCAGATATTCATGCATATGTATAATTCTTGCATTAAAACGAAGCAAATAGTTTCTCTTTGCATTCATGTATTTCTGTCCTCCCGTTGTTCATCGATTTACTCAAGTGGGCCCAGTAACGTCTCCATTGGAGACTTTGTTACTGTGTTTGGCATATCGAATACATCACGGGTAGCTTGCCAGGTTCTGCCGATTCATGTATTTAATTTTTTTTTTTAAATTTTATTAGTGAAACACCATGAGGTACAGTTGTCATGTATTTATTTTTTAATATAACAGCATATAGGATGAATAAAACCCATGGTTGGGCTGGAGCAATAGCATAGCGGGTAGGGCATTTACCTTGCATGCAGCCCACCCGGATTGTATTCCCAGCATCCCTAAGATCGCCCAAGCACCGCCAAGAGTAATTCCTGTGTGCAAAGCAAGGAGTAACCCCTATGTATTGCTGGGTGTGACCTCAAAACAGGCAAAAACAAACCATGATAATATGATCGTTTTTAGAGTGATCATTCTATGAATCTAGGAGAACAATGCAAATTAATAGAAAATGTTTGCACTAATGATTCTAGGTACTGAAGGTGTAGTACTCTAGGCACTTGTATATTTTCTCAAATTATTGACGTCCAGACCGCTTTCATACTCATTTATTATGTTTCCCATACACACACACACACACACACACACACACACACACACACACACACATATCACTCTCACTGTCCTCCCGTTGTTCATTGATTTGCTCGAGCGGGCCCAGTAACATTGTGAGACTAGTTACTATGTTTAGCACATCAAATACGTCACAGGTAGCATGCCAGGCTTTGCCATGCGGGCGAGATACTCGGTAGCTTGCCGGGCTCTCCAAGAGGGGCAGAGGAATCGAACTTGCGTCAGCCGTACGGCCGCATGCAAAGCAAACGCCTTACCCGCTGTGCTATCGCTCCAGCCTATATGTATACATGTTTCTATTTATTGTATGATTATAATATATAAAATAGCCTATGAAAGCAAATAATATAAAAGTTTTACATGTGCTCCACCGTCCTGTGACTCCTCTTAATATGTTGTTCTATGCACAAAACTGTCACTGTCCTCCTGTTCATTGATTTGCTCTAGTGGGCCCAGTAATGTCTTCATTGTGACAATTGTTACTGTGTTTGGCATATCGAATACGTCACGGGTAGCTTGCCAGACTTTGCTGTGTGGGCGAGATACTCTCGGTAGCATGCCAGGCTCTCCGAGAGGGGTGGAGGAATCAAATTCTGGTCAGCCGTGTTGGCCGCTTGCAAGGCAAACGTTCTAACCGCTGTGCTATTGCTCCAGCCCATGCATAAAACATGCCCACGTAATGATTTGTATATGAAAGTTTATAGGAACACATTTTCACCCAAATTTTCTTCAGCAAAGGATAAACAGTTGTCCTATGTTTATAAACAGTAGAATACCACCAGCAGTAAAAAGTTTTGAATTGTTCATAAATAAGCAGTGACAAGAGTGAATCTCTAGTTTTACTTGATAGAAGCAGCAAGCAAAATTAGTATACATTGTATGATTCCCTTCATAAATGATATCAGAAAATATAAACTATAGTCGTAAAATTCATGTCAGAGGTACGTGGGATAGCAGGAATCTTGGAGATGTTGAATATATTTGCTTCCTTTGATTGAATGGTGGTTATATTGTAATATAAACTTTTTAAAGTAAAAAAAGCCTTAACTATGAGAAGTATTTTGTATGTCAGCTATATTTTGTAAAGCTGCAGAAGATATTATAATCTTTTCTTTCTCTCTTCCTCTGTCTTCTCTCTTTCTCTCTTTCTCGCTCTCATTCTGCTCATGTGCACTTAAGTACACTCTAATGATACTTTCAAAGTGCCCTCATTGAGCAGTTAAATCAATGCTTTAATTTTATTTTCTTAAAGTAGAATGTTTTTAAAACTTGGTAGTTCCAGTAGGTGTTTAATGGTTATTTTTTCCTTTTGCATAGTATGCACTGGAACGGCTGAAGGTCATGTGTGAAGAAGCTTTGTGTAGTAACCTCTCAGTAGAAAATGTTGCTGATACCCTTGTCCTTGCAGATTTGCACAGTGCAGAACAATTAAAAGCACAAGCCATAGACTTTATTAATAGGTAAACTATATTTGTATTTTAATGGGCATTACACCGTTACCGTTTTTTTCACTGTACTTTTTTAAAAGTGTATTTAAATCTTTAATGTAGGTGCAGTGTACTTCGACAGCTTGGGTGTAAAGATGGAAAAAACTGGAATAGCAAGTAAGATGAAATTATTTGTATATCATTTTTCATTTATAATATGAGTCTACATATTTCTTAATACTGGGTTACTTATGATTGTAATTGGACTTCTTAGTGCATTCCTGTGGCTATGTGCCCCGTTTAAACCACCTTCTAATGTGAACTAGGATAAATACATTTATAAGTATAGTACTTTCTTAGTATGTAACTGAGTTCAGGTACTTCAGTCACTGCTAGCGACTCTGATGCTGTTTTTTTTTTTTCCCTTGTAAAACCATAAGGAGTGGGATAGGGGTTATATCTTTTTGAGCCTGAATCTTCTGATGAGAATTATTATAATTAATTGCCTTTTATTTTTAAATTCTGAGTGACTTTTTAAAATCCTTGTAGTTATTTGAATTAAAAATAAGTACAATCAGTTGAAGAATGTTTGAATAGTTAATAAAAAAGTTAATAGCTATAGAGTGAGATTAGACTAGATTGATTACAGTGGGACCAGAGCTCAGCAAGGATAAAATGTATTGAAGGACACACTAATATTTGGATATTATTTGAATAATGAATGAGCAAGCACAAGGGGAAAAGGACTGGAGACACGAGTGGGTTAAGCAACAGAATTGCTTGAGAATTAGTATTAGAGTCATAATTGCACTGATTGCTCAATGAGTATTTCAAATGTGAGCTGATACGGACTTTTAACTAGGACTTCAGGATAAATTTGGGGATTAAAAGTAGCACTGTAGTACTGTCCTTCGATTGTTCATCAGTTTGCTCAAGTGGGCACCAGTAATGTCTCACAACAAATTGTGAGACTTGTTACTGTTTTTTGTCATACCAAATATGCCAAGGATAGCTTGCCACGCTCTGCCATGCGGGCGAGATACTCTGGGTAGCTTGTTGGGCTCTCCGAGAGGGGTGGAGGAATCAAACGCAGGTTGGCCTCGTGCAAGGCAAACACGCTAAAAATGCAATAATATACAGTATACACTTAAATATCAGTGTGTAAAATGACAAGACATGGAAAATGGGAGGTGAACAGTTAGAAGGAGTAAGTAGGTAACTTCCTAATTATTTATTTAGTAATTTTTTGGTTTGGGTGTTCTAGCTGGCTATGCTCAGGGCTCACTGTTGGTTCTATGTTCCTGGCAGGAGTATGGGGACCTGTGGAGTACTAAGAATCTAACATAAGAGGTCCCCACATGCAAGACAAATGGCTTGTCCTCTGTGCTACCGCTCCAGCCCCAATTTTCCACATTTTCTAAAGAACCTTGATACAGTCACTGGAGAAACAATAGAATAGGCGTTGCTACTACTCATGCTATTAAGATAACATGGACATTCGTTTGAAAGCAAGATAGGAGTCTAGAAGACAACTAACTTGTGAGACTTGAAGTATTTCAAATGTGAGCTGATACGGACTTTTAACTAGGACTTCAGGATAAATTTGGGGATTAAAAATAGGTCTTTGATGATTGATTATAAAAGATAGAGTATAACTTTTCAGATTTCTGACTTGAGTCATGGGTGATGGTAGACGCATTGGCTGATTGGAAATAAGGGAAAAATAAGTTTGGACTTGGAAAGAAATTACCAGAATTTTTTATTCCGAGGCACCAAGTAAAGAAAACAAATGGTTGGAAACAAACCTTATGGGAAGGTCTATAATTAGCCAGTGAGTTATTTTCATTTAATAATAATAGTTAAAATTTTGTTGAACGAATGAGGTGGGGTTAGTAAGCAGTGTTAGGAGAGAAGACTACAGGGCAAATTTGGGATTTCTAGAGAAAGCCTGTTTATAAAGAGTAAGGAGCTTGAAAGAACACTGGAACAAATTACAATGGTAATGAGAATAAAACTGGAAACAGACATTGCATGTTTCAGAAGACTGTGCCTTCTAGAAAAGTTTAATGGTTTTATCTGCAATAGAAAATACCAGTAACGTAAAGATGATCCGTTTTCGTGATTGCTAATGGTTTGATTTGTCCTCAAACGCAGTGTTTGAAACATTTTTAAATCTATAAATTAAAAAATGCATTCTGAAATGCATTAATTGAAATGCTTTAATAAATTAATTTTATTTTTCAGCCAAGCAACAGACATAATGGAAACATCAGGGTGGAAGTCTATGATACAGTCTCACCCTCATTTAGTAGCAGAAGCCTTCCGAGCACTTGCATCTGCACAGTGTCCACAGTTTGGCATTCCACGCAAACGGCTAAAACAGTCTTGAAATCTTCCATGAACTATAGAAAAGTGGAACTGACTTTAACTCCTCCAGGTCCAGAAGGATTCTAATACACAAACCATAAGCAAGAGTTGTTTCTGTTGTCTTGTTCAGAGCAGAAGCTGAAAAGGCATATTGCTTGCATTTCAGGTGGATAATTTATGGTTTATTCTTCAGCTTTAAATTAGACTGATTATACTCTAATTCACTTCAAAGCCTTAAATTATCTTCAATGACTTCTCTTGTTCATATAATACTTCAATTTGTGTGTGTGTGTGTGTGTGTGTGTGTGTGTGTGTGTGTGTGTGTGCGCGCGCCTTGTCATTTTGACTAAGGCTATACAGGATTGCACTAGCTCCGTAATGCAGTAATATTGATAACCGAAGATATTAAGTTTCAAAGCGGTCTTCCATAAGTTTGAGTAAAGCAAAGTGAGTTTTATAGGATTTGTCCTATGCTATCTCAAAGTTCAAAACTAGGTTCTCCTTAAAAGCACTTGCATTGGAGATCACTGGTAAAGTCTCCAGTCTAAGTTCTGTCAGTACAAGAGAGCATCTTTACCTTCAAGGAAAATTACAGCAATACAATGCTTCAATTCTAATTTATTACTCATTTCAGAGGGCATATATGCAATGAGAAGCCAAATTTTAGTAAAATGTCTCGTATTTGTATGTCCAATTAACTAAATGTATAACAAACTTTTGCTTGTGTTTTGTTGTGGCTTTATTGAAGTTTATGATGATTGAGAACTGATTGAGGTTTAAAATTTCATAAGAAAGCATGTTTGTGCCGAATTAATTTTTTAATTTATAATGAACTGCTTACATGAAGAATTCTATACATGTTAAAAGTAAGGATGACCAAATATAAATTTAATAAGAGGGCCAATTAAGAAAGATAAATATGCACTTTTAATGTTTTGACTTTTGTATGCTGAATGGTACATATATTTTTTGCCTTTTAGGGAATTAATAAGGTAAAAATTAATTGTGTCTTAACTTTTGAAAGAATTTTTTAAGATAAATGGAGGCAACTGGGGAGTTTGTGATAATAGGTAAGAAGGATTTAAATTGGTTTGAATTTCAGATTTTCAATATTAAACTTTGGAGAAAATACCTGAACATTAAATAAATCCTGTACAGTTTACACTCCTAAATACAGTGAACTCATCTATATGCAGAGTAAAGGAGAGAATGTATTTTCTCAGTCAGAAACATGTTAGGCTGCACTCTGTAAGCCCTATTTTTAGATTAAGAGTTTTTGTTGCTTTGTTTTGTTTTGCCCTTACCCTTCTTTCTTTTTCAGTTTACCATACTAACATTGTGTATAATTGAAAGTCTGCATCATGCGATCAGGATAAACTATGAACTATTTTTTATGGCCAGTTCTTTATTACAATGGAATTTTAGCTTCAAACACATACACATATTAAATATTTGGTGACTGTTTAGACCTTGACATTTGTGATTCATTGTTCAGAAGAAACAGGATTTATCAGCTATCAAGTCACTGTAGCTGATTTTCTGTAACAGCCACAGTATACTTCTTAGGCAAGATTTGTGTATTTGATCACAAGGTGTAAAGTGTGTCTTTGGGGAGAAAAAAAATGCATATATGTATATATGTGTGTATATATACATGTATGTGTATATTTGCATATGTAATTTTATTCTCCAGATTAAATTTTGTGTTAATTTATTGTCTTTGAATATACAACAAAAGGAGAAAAAACTGAGCTCGAGATTTTAAAATAGATTTTTATTTTTACTATCTCTTTGCTACGTATTCACCAAAGCAATCCTAATATAGCAGGAGTGATTTGTATTTGCATTGAAAGGACTGGAAATAATTGTAATCTATATAGAGTATGAGAAGATATTTTCAGATACCTTCATTTCTTTATGAATAATTTTTAAATTGGAAGAACCTCTTAGGGATAAGCGCAAAATTACATGAGTGAAATCTCTTTCACAGAAGAGTATTTAAGGGTGCAAAACTTCCTTAATTTCACCCTAAGCTTTAACATATTTAATTTTACAGTGTACAATTTCAGATATCCACACATAAATACATACACATTTAGATTTTAATTTAAGATGTTACCAGAATCTTACCAAAAAAAAAAAAGGTGACCTATCTCAGGTTACAGAATTTTGTTGTCACACATCAAAAAAATGCTGGTGTATCCATTATCAGATGTGCACGGGTATATTGTAAATTCATTGCTGGACTCTACATTTCTAACTATAGTGACTTCATTAATTACACCATACAATAAAAACTTCAGCATCCTATTCTGTACTTTATTGTTTATTTCAGATCTCTCAAAGATTTTGTTTCTTAACTCATTTTATGCCAAAAAAGTCAAATACTGTGTTATTAGAGTAGAAACATTTATAGAAATGTTCACTTTTTCAGATAACACAATGCCTAACAATCATATTTAGTATTTTTGGTTTTGGTATTGGAAATAAATTGTGTTAACAGTAGATCATGACATAAGTAGTCTGTTCTTTTTTCCCTTTCTTTTCCTTTTTTTAAAACTATACACACTGTTTTCAATAGTGATGGATCTCTGTCCCGAGTAATCTTGCCTTTTGAACTATGAACAAGTGTGCTTGTTTTCCTTCTCACCAAAACAGAACTCTTCCTTGGAAAAGTAGTGACTGGTTTAAAATGTTACACATGTTATAGAAGTAACCATTGCAGAGCTTCTTCAGATCAAGATACAGAAACACTATATTTGTGCCTTTTTTTTTTTTAAGTTTTAACTTTTATCGGTATTTGGAGCACAAATATGAAGGTGCCATATGTTATGGCTTGCCATTGTTACCTCCTTGAATATTCACTTGTCGTTGTCTTGAAATACTAATTGGAGAGAACCTTGCATGTATTATGTGGTCATTTGTGTGTGTGAATATGTGTGCATACGTGCATGGGTGCATGTGTGTACACATAATAGTATATGCTTGACTTGTGTGTGTTATGTTCAAAAAAATAAATTTCTGAAATAGGACTCTATTGAAAGTCAAGTCTGGTTGATATACATCATTTAAATGTGCTTTGTTTGGGGTACAATTAACAGAAGAACTTAAAATTTTCAAAATGTGACCAATTTACTGCATGATGAAATGTGAAAACAGTGCCTTTTAGTATATCAGTTTTAAAACTGTTATAATATTAACGAAGTTGTCATGAACGTTGTTTACTTATTTTTTTCATTAGACCTAAGTTAGAGCTTAAATTGCCAAATGTACAGTTATTGATTTACCCATTTAATTTTGTGTGTAATTTAAAATCTAAGAATTATTTGTAAAATTGTGGATTATAAATGCTACCCATTGCCTCTATACTAGAACACTAAGGACTTTAGTTATGTTGTTCTGTTAAAATTCTATTCAACAGGCTTTTCTCATAGCTAAGTATACTTGAGATAAATTATTCTAAATTGTACATTCATACACTTTGATGGATGAAATTCAGTATATTCTTGCAAAATAAGGTGGGTGTGTTTTTAGATTATAAAGGCAGCACTTTTCAGCACATATTAGAATATTTTACAAACCTCCTTTTTACAGATTATAAGCTCTAATTTTAATGTTCATGGAAAGATAAAAATTTTGGTCCAGTTGAACAAATATTGAGTGCCTATCATACAAGACTTCTTAACTGGGAATGAAATCACCACACTGTGTCTTTTGTTTGAAGTATGTGTGGACTTTATGTTTGAAAAGGAATTCTTATATTTAAAAGGTTTTCTGTTAAGATTTTATCATTATATATTTTAACCCTGTTAATTTTGCATTCAGTTTTTTAGAATGGTGATAAAATGTAAGTCCCGTTTTTTGAAAATGAAATCTAAAATTAAAAATTATTGGGGAAATTGATTTTCAAAAGATTCAAATGTATAAAGACATATATTGATCTTTCAGCCTCATTTTTAATCAGCTGATGTTAATGAGATACTATCTTGTTGCTGAAAATATTTTTTGCATTTCAGCAGTTGAGTTAAAATAAAGTTGTTACTAATTCAGAATGAAATGGTTTGTTTTGTATTATTGGAAACATTTTTTCGATTATTATGCTTTACCAAAATAGCCATGCATTTGATACGTTAACTTTAAAGATTATGCATAATAATATTTCTGCATAAAAGGTGGTTTTGCTTTGGTACATCTACACAATGGAGGACTATGCAGCTGTTAGAAAAGATGAAGTCATGAAATTTACGTACAAGTGGTACTACATGGAAAGTTTCATGCTAAGTGAAATGAGTCGGAAAGAGAGGGACAGAATAGAAAGAATGCATTCATCTGGGGAACATAAAGTAACAAAATAGGAGACTAACACACAAGAATAGCCAAGATAAGTACCAGGAGGTTCACTCCATGGCTTGGAGGCCAGCTGCACATGCTAGGGGAAAAGGTAGCTCAGATAGAGAAGGGAGCACCAAATAAAGGGTTTTGGGAGGATCCTCCCAGAATGAGAGATGCATGCTGAAAGTAGACTATAGACCAAACATGATTGCCACTCAGTGCCTCTTTTGCAAACCACAATCCCCAAAAGGAGAGAGAACAAAAGAGAATGCCCTGCCACAGGGGTGGGGTGGGATGGGGGGGTGGATGGAATACTGGGATCATTGGTGTTGGAGAACAGGCACTGGTGGAAGGATGGGAACTCAATCATTGTATAACTAAAACCCAAGCACAAAAATTTAAGTCTACAACTGTACCTGATGGTGTTTCACTAATAAAATTTTTTTTTAAAAAAATGATTTTGGATCCTACCAAAAACGTATACTTTTAAGATCAGAGAGAGAGAGCATGGGGGTTAAGGTTCATACCGCCTACACTGGTTCCATCCCTGTCACCACATGGTTTACCAAGGTTGCTGGGTATAACCTTCAAGGCACCCAAACACTGCTATTATGTAGCAAGATATCTTTAGGCCCTCACATTGAACCACTGTCCAGTTGACCAAAAATTGCTGGAAGTGTCCCCTGGTGGTGGTGTCCTGGGTCACCATCCCGTGGTGTCTTGGGGTCCCTTGGTGTATTTGGTGCTGATGACTGGATGAAGGAAAGGGGGCCACAGGCTGGTTTGTAATCAGTGGCCGTTTATTCAAATCTCTCATTGTTATAGGGAAATTGTGAAGGGTTGGGGAGTAGTAATTATACATAGGAGTGGTTGGACTTTCGCAAACAGTGAGTAGATGGAAGGCCCTTCAGGGGAAGTTCAGGAAATCCACCAAGGACACAATATCATCTAGGGGTTCTAGCACTCTAGATTCCTACTAGAACATCCGCCCGAGGACAAAATTCCATCTAATGGCATGCTGCTTTCTTCTTTCCTTTGCTGGCCATTTAAACAATATTAATTTTACTTAATATTTCTAGTCATTTTGTATGAACACAGTAAGAGACAGGTTTTCATCTATTCCCTAGATTAAGCTTAAAGAGTGGCTTTTCTTGAGAACATCTCACTATATTTCTCAGACTACAGTCCAAGCAACGTTAGTTTTTCCTCACCCCAACAAAGTCCTTATTCAGTTACTTGTTTTTGGATCACGAGTTTGTCCCATGACCATGCTCTTAATTTATCATACTTCTTATGACTCTTAGGCTGTCCTTTTAGAAGCAGGGTGCCCTATGACTTGCCCTGAGTCCATCCAAGTCCTTTGGTGCAACCCGCCTTTTAGGGTGTTAGGAACTAAAGGGCAACTGAGGCTTAAGTAAATATGATGGATGTCCACGAGTAAATACTAGTCAGTTTCAATTAACACCCATGTTACAAAAATGTATTATCAACTGTCTTCCTATGTTATATGAAAAGGATATTGCTGTAAAATAAATGATGCAAAGAACATAAAGGAAACAAAAGCAATATTTCATTTATATATACAAAATCTAGTGCCCTCAGAAGATTTTACTTAAATTACAGTTTCTGATTTGGAGATATTTGTGACTAAAAGGGAAAGAAGATCTCCAAGGAGAGTTAAAGATAAACAGAATTGAGGAGTACTGCCAATGAGATAGGGTGTGTCCCCATGATCACTGTAGTGAATGTAATACAATTAACCTAAGCTCCCTGGGGGGAGGAGCAAGGCAGTCCAATGTTAAACCTGACATGTTTAGAACTATAATCCAACATCCTGGGTTTCCTTGAATACTACTTGAGAATTTCCCCCAACCTGGCAAAAGACTTATTCTTCAGCTGTGAATTATTGCACATAATTTATACATGTAAGAAATACGACCATTTATCTATCTAGTCATTGAGTGACATGCTAATATGTAGCAATAATGGAGCACTTAAGAGTTCTATAGCTATCCTACCCCTTTTTAATCAAAATAATTGAGAATTTGCTATGTGTTAGCAAAAGCAGATTTGTGGGACTATCTTCAGTTATAGTAACACAACTAGTGCTTAAAATTATGACCAGAGTAGTGGCTGCAATGCACAGTGAAGAACTGCGTGTATTCAACAAGCACGCAGATACACACTGAATTCCAGTTTGAAAAATAAGGTTGAAAACAAATTTCTTAATGCAGTTACAGAAAACAGGTGAATATATTTTAGTGCTCATATTCAAAACTATGAACTTAAATTACATAACGCTTCTGCAGCACCCAGCACCTTAATATTTCTTTTCATGTTACTGCAGTGTTATTTTTTCCTTTTTTCACCTCAGAATCATAAGACAAGAATGGCATTTTCTTTGATCACTTTTATTTTTAAAATTTATTTTTAATTAAATTACTATGCCATACACTGTTACGAAGATGTAGATGATAACTGCAATGATAAATACAATGTTCCTACACCCCTCCCTTCACCACTGTACAGTTCCCACCACCAGTTTCCCCAGTTTTCCTCCTGCCACTCCCCATCCCCAGTCAGCCTATGGCAAGTGGCAAACAATTCTCTCTCTCTCTCCTCTCTCTCTATCTCTTCCTCTCCTCTCTCTATCTCTTCCTCTCCTCTCTCTCTTTCTCCTCTCCTCTCCCCTCCCCTCCCCTCCCCTCCCCTCCCCTCCTCTCCTCTCCTCTCTCCACCCCTCCTCTCCTCTCCCCGTCCCTCCCCTCCTCTCCCCTCTCCTCCTCTCCTCTCCCCTCCCCTCTCCTCCTCTCCTCTCCCCTCCTTTCTCTGCCTCTCATACACACCACACACACACACACACACACACACACACACACACACACACACTCCCTCCCTCCCTCCCTCCTGGGCATTGTGTGTGGTACAGATACTGAATGGTTATAGTGTATTTCCCTTTGCCTACTTTCAGCATCCAATTCTTGGCCAGAGTGTAGATCACAATTTTAAACTATAGGTTGTTTGGTAGAAATCTTGCACTTTAAAGTGGTTAGTGGGCAAAAACTGCTTGTCATTTCTGTTTCCTTTCCAACTCTCCTTTGGGCTGGTGCTCTTATTTGCACTTATCATTTTGTCAAGAATTCAGGTATGACCTGGACTAGTCTCTGGAATCATA